ATATACTATATACTTCTCTCAAGACGAATTCCATTGGGGTATTATTCGCGTCAAGCTTGCTTTGTCGTCAACGTGACTAACATCGTCAATTCTAGAGGTGCTATTTTTTGTTAAAATAATCAAAAGTAATTTCAAATAACAATGGAATTTTGCAGAGTGGGCGTAGTCTAATGAAAAGTATTATTGTTTTTGATGGATTGGTTTAATGACGTATGCGTACTGGGCTTTTTCATACGTAACTTTCTTTAAGCATATCATTAGGCCATGTTCCTTTCCTTTAGCCATATTATACCCTGCAAATTTCTATGGTTACCATAGGCTTATAATATGATTAGCATAGTCTTTCCATACGAATGCCATGCAAATCCTTATGTCTTGCCTGTAAGCAAATTATGTCGTGCCATATTTAAGTCATACAAATTTCTATGATTGTCATAAGATTATGGTGTATTGCCATATAAATTTGAATGGTAACAATAGGTTACAATAAATTACGATAGATGAGTTTATGCCAAATTTTCCTAACGATTATTTGTTTTCCTTTTCTTTACCCTTACTTAAATTTCAATGTGGAACCCTAATTTTGTTTTTATACTGATAAAGAGTCTTAAAATATTTTTTAAAGGTGGTGAAGACGTTACATTTTGTAAAATTGTTTAAAACATTTATTGTAAGTAAGCATCATGGTTTCCAGGTGTACTCATTGGAGGCAAGAAACCATGGGGACAGTGGTTGGATTGATAAAATAGATTACAACAACTTGGCGGATGACGTTGCATGCTTCATGGACTCTATGGGAATTCCAACAGCCATTCTCATTGGTCACAGTATGGGTGGTTTAACTGCAATGAACTTCGCATTCAGGCATGTGAGTAGAGGAGCTTAACAGTTTTTTTCGGAACTCTTTCGCCAAAGGGAAATAGCTACAGTTTAAATGCCTTAAGGCAAGACCATAATTATAAACAATCTTTTTGAGTAAGGAATTATCAGGATTTTAGGACGAATAAAGTACTTAAATCGCCAATTTGACGACATTTTCCCATCTGGAGGAAAATTATCGAAATCAATGAAAGAGCTGTTGTGACTCAGGGGATCGAGCCTCCCCATAAAGTGACCGGGAATCAAATACCGCGGCGATGGTTGGTCAAAACGAATTCCGTTTCCGGCTCGCATCAACCACAGTGCTGACATAAAATATGCTCAGTGTAGAAGAATCATGGGTTAGAATCCCATTGCCGTCATCCTAACAGCGGAAAGGTTTCGTATTTTTTCTCTCTGTGTAACGCTAATGCAGGTTGATTCCATCAAAAAGACCTCCACGATGTCAAATTTTTCCCTATACTTAATCCAGGAGTTCCCTTGTCTTCTGGATTGGGTGCAAAATGACAAGGCTGCGTAGCTGAACATTAGTAGTAGTAAACTCAAAATTGGGTCGGCTGCTCAACAACGAACGGTTTTCCTTACACTTATATAATATACCACATGATAAAAGAAAGTTTTAATCATTAGAATCCATAAAAAATTGCAGAAGTTTTCAAACAAATTAGATAGAACAGATTACAGAATTTTATCTAACAAAAGCTGTAGATTTTACTTATAATCTAATAGATATCGTAGATTTTAAGAAGAATCAAAGAAAAATTCTCGATTTCACCTAGAATTTAAACTACGTCGTTAATTTTACTTAAAATTCAAAAACAGTTCTGGAATTTATGAACAGTTCAACATAATTTGTAGAATCTAGAAACAATTTCTCAATAATTTTTGATGTGTGAAAGAAATAACCTGTGGAAATCGAAAATTGACATTTTTTTTTCGTTCAAAAGTCAACCATCTTTCTAATGGATGGTTGACTGAATGTAATAATAATAGAATAACAAGTTTCATAAAACCGTATAATTACAGTATTTTAAGTCGAAATATCATTTGTTTTTTTAGCCCCATAGACTCCATTCTATTATCATAGAGGATATGTCACTTAACAGTTCCCCGGCGATTGATAAATGGTGCAAAGATTACATAATCATGCTGAGGAAAGTGCTGCACTTAATTCCTCCGGAAAAAGAACTACCGGAAGCCAAGATCATCGCTGCCGTTTATCTTGACAACCGACCACTAGAAGGAAAACCATCGGAAGCCAAGAAAATCGCTTCCGATTATCTTGACCACCGACCAGTAGTAAAAGTATTTATAATGTAACATCTAAACAACTAAATATTGAAATGGTATATTTTCGATAAAATTATTTTACGAACATCCTTCGTAAAGTATTATTGATAATAAATTAATTTTAACAGTAAAAAAAAATGTATAGTAAAAAAGTGATTACAGTTATCAACATTTTAATTCCGATTAAAATTTAAATAAAATCTGGGAGAGAAGTTTTTTGAGGTAGTATAATATACAATTGTCTCACAAACAAGCATAAAATAAGTTTTCTATTCATGATGTATTATCATCAATGCATATCTATATTATATAAAACGCTAATACGTACGTATGTATGTATCAATAAAACCAATGATATTTCTTTTCTCGCGCTGGCAACAGTTTTCATTTTTAATTGATTGGATTCGGCGCTCAAGAGCACGTAGTGAGCAACCAGATAACAATAACCAGAGTGAGCATTATCAGGTTGTTCAATTCAGATTCATGCACTAAAAACATGACAATATTTAATTTAAACTCAATTAGGAATTAATTAATTAATTGAAGTGAGAATGCTTTAAAAGGCCGCTGTTGAATTGATATTTTTCTACTGGGAGCTACCTAAACGTCTAAAAAACGTTTAAGTGTTTGTATTGAATGCATTGAATTTTTTTATATTTCGCGTTTATTTATGCATTGAATTTTCACGCTTTAAAATGCAGAATATTAGTGAAGCAATATTTGATAATTTATTTTGCTAATATGTTTCTTATTTAGCTAATGTTTTGATTTTTTCACCATGTACAATCTAAATAGCTAATATACTTTTTTAAAAGCCAATAAGAACATTGGTAGAATTCTTCTACATAAGTACAATACTATGTCTTTGATGATAAAATACTATGTCTTTGATGATAATATATTATGTCTTTGTGCTAGAACATTGTGTTCATTGGCGAGCGAGCGCAGCGAGCCATGGTTCACGGCGTGAACCACATAGGATTGCGTAGCAATTCTCGGTGGTTGGCGAGCGTTAGCGAGCAGGGGGCGGAGCCTCCTAGTTTTAATTAATTCATCTCATTTTTGTAAAGAGGACCGAATACCGTAGCTTAAAAGTAGTTTCAGAAATGCTACTAATGAGTCATAATTTGACTCTCTGAAATGGCCTAAAGCAAGTTTTCTTCAAAATTTCAACTCGTTTGAAAGTTATTGCTAATTAAAGCGTCCCCTCCCCCGCGATTCTCATTCCTTTTTTTTTAAGCTTTAAATAGAAATTCTGTTGTAAAAAAATATTATTTCATGCACACGTGCTTGACTTAGCATCGACATGAACAAAAAAAATTAATAAGTAAAATAAAAAATCAGAGATAGAGATTAAATGTTTCTTGATATAAATCTTAACATTTTCATTGAAATTTTTAAAAATATAGAAAATTTCGAAACATATAAAACTATTTCCAATTTGAACTGTTTGATTTAAATTACTTCTCATTTATTATCATTTCACACATTCTATATTTCGAAGTTTAATTTTTTTTTTCAAGTTTTGTTAATTATTTTATTACAATATAGTTAAAAAAATTTCTTTGATTAAATTACAATGATTTATGTAAGCAAAATTAACTTTTTTTGAGAAAATTTTGTCTTTTAACAAGGGAAAAAAAACTGGTGATTGAGGAGAATCACGAAGCTGAAAGAGCAAGAGCGGAACCACCTTGTCATTCAAATTTTTGTTTTGAAGGACAGAGTCATTTCAGTCCTTTAAAGTAGAAGGAAAGTTTCGAGAAAAATACTTTTGTTTTTTGCGCTTGCCTCCCAATGAGGTAGACCGGGTTCGAATCCCAGCGATGGCTGGTCGACACGAATTCTGCATCCGGCTTGCACTGACCACAGTGATGACGTAACATACCCTCAGAGTTAGACGAACCATGGGTTAGATTCCTCTTGCCGTCAGGCTAACAGTGGGAGGTTTTCGTGATTTTACTCTCCATGTAACGCAAATGCGGGTTAGTTCCATCAAAAAGGCAAATTTTTCCCAATACTTGATCCAGGAGTTTCCTTGTCTTCTGGATTGGGTTTAAAATGACAAGGCTACTGAGATGAACATTAGTATTCGTAAACCCAAAAACATTGAGTCGGCTGTTCAATAACTGTTATAAAATAAATATATAAATATATATATAAAATGTTATTTTTCAGACAGAGGAGAGCACCTATAATAACGCTCTCCAACCCGTAAAGTGGGTCGGCCGAGATCTCGCCCTCAGAGTGAACTCCAGTGGAGATGGATTTGAGTGGAAGACTAATTTAGATGTCTTGCAGAATTTAATGGAGAGTGGAGAATTCACACCCTGTAGCATACAAGGGATTGAAAAAGAAATGACATATGAAGGTCCCGTCTTAATGATCTATGGCACATCTTCACCGGTTAACGTGTAAGATCACCTTTTTTTCTTCACCACAGTTGTGCTTACTCACAAGAAAAATTCGTATATGCATACATGCATTCATATATGCACATATGCCTACGTATATGCATTGGTATATGCATGCGTATGGATGGTGGACTGAAGCAATAACAAGCTTCCCAAAATTGGAAGAAATTTAGAAAGCTTCCGGCATGTCCCTCCCATTATCTCAGGCGATGTGTAAGCAGGCTTAATATTCATTATTGTGACTTGTGTTTAATTTTAACATTCATAAGAGTTTTCAGTCATTTATAAATTCTAACAGATCGTAAGCCTAAAACAAATTTAACAAAAGTAATATCACAACAAGTGTAAGGTTCGCCAAGTTTTGAGTGTTATCCCTTATTTGGCTATATTTGTGAAAAATAGCGCCGTTCATTTAGTTGTTGGGAATCATCATAGAAATCTTGCGGAGTCTTCCGAATTCATTTGTTGTTTGTTTCGTTGAAAGTTAAATTGAAAAAATGCGTTATATTAAAAACACTACAATAATAAAATTGGCAGGCATGTTTTTTCAAGCTTAGGTTTAAAACTCAGTCGGAAATAGTAACCCGAAGTCTTACGGCAAATTTCGACCCACAGCGCCATCTGCGCTAAACTTTATACGATCAATCATCCATATCCAAGTGAGGACAAAAATTTTAAACCTTGGGAACAAAAGAAGACAGAAGAATGAAACAAATTACGGCATGTCTATTATGAAGTTGTAAAATTTTTGGCAGAAATTTCGAGATTTAGTTACAAAAGATGGCACTCCATGCTGAGTTCGCGAAATGAATATAAGTGCGGAAAAGTTGCAATATAACCAGGGATATTCCAGTACCAGAATACACACGTTTTTTAATTGAATACAGATTTTAAAAATCTTAATCCGGCACGTGACCTCTTTTTACGTTTCGACACCAGAACTGATCGCTTTGATCATCGATGACTTGAAGTGACATTCTGATGTCAATTATTAGATTTCTTTATGAAATGTTTACAGCTTTCACAATAAACATACGGTTTGTTTCATTCCTCTATTGTACATTATGACCATGATTTTAAAATCAGTCAGTTCACCGCTAAACACGCTGCATTTTTTTTAAGAGCGGTATTTTTACATTTATTACAATTTCACAAGGACGTTTTACGATTCAAAAATGCTTAAGAAATTTTCACATTGATTTTGAGAAGACATTTAGCGAGCAGCACTACACTGTGAAAAATCGGTAAATATTTATCCAGTATTTGGTGCAAAGTTTCTCGTTCTCCCAAAGTTTCGTTAAATGAAAGATTATTTTATTTTAAAGTATGATTGAGAAATACTTTCATGGTGCAACTGATTGCACCGAAATTTGGTAAAAGACACAAAAATTTGACGGCGAGGGTGAACTGAACAATATTTGTTTATGACGTCATGTTTTCTTTACAACTCGGTCTAAGATGTACCGGGACGAATCATGCATGGTTTTAAGTTGCCTTTTGAAATTTGGTAGGGGATGTAAAAGATTAGAGATATGTCATAAAATGACCTACTTCCGGTACATAGCAACCTTGGCCCGCATTTGCGCACTTTAAAAATACCTAATAATGATGCAACTTTCCTCTGCTTTTATAAAAAGAAAAAATTAAGGAACGAAAATATGTGTTTTGTTTTTTCAAAGCACCTACTTTTGGTGCAACCTCCAACTGATATTTGGAGATAGTGAAAGTACCAAAACATGGTAAAATTGGGCTCCATTTTATGTAACCAGCAAGTGAATACCAAAGTGGATCGGAATTCTTAACAGCGTTGCCCTTCATTGACAAGCTTCCTCCCTATGAGAGCGCATCCTACCAAAGCATTTGCAGGTGGGGCAGAAGCAGCTGTCGGGTGTGAAATTTCTCAAAATTTAGAAATGACACCAGACTCGTTATTTTGAAAACTATCAGTGTATATCAGATCATAGTCTTTAACATTGAAAAACATCTGTGTAGAGAATACTGGGCAAGTAAGTGTGTATTGAGTCCTTTAAATTAAAAAATAATACTGTGATGAATACTGGGAAAGCGAAAAGTAAGTGGGCTTACGGTTTTTCATAGCCACTGCGTAACCAATATCCCCCACCAATAATCAATATACCCCCGTATCGGAGATCAGCAGGACCCAGGGATTTGTGTTTGTGTATTGTGTTTAGCACCCTTTGGGAAAAACATACAGGCCATCGTACATTAATATAACAAAATAAACAGATACAAACACAGGACATATCACATAGTCACATTACAAGAAATTTTTTTCATATTTATTTACTTATTTTATTAACATTTAGCACCCCACGGACAACAGCTAGTGTTACCGGGCACAACTGTCTGCTTGTATAGAGCAGGCCAGCTGCAGGGCAGGTGTGTCTATTGTTTAGGCTATGTCATTCATTGTTTTTAATTTGTTTATTATTCTGTAGGGAGTCCCCAATGGCTTCATAAAGTTCTCCTTTTAGTGTTTTTAAATGGTATTGCGCAGTTTACTCGCAGTCGTATAGATAGTGTTCTGGCGTGCCTTCTGTCTGACTTGAACACGTGCACTTGTTTATTGATTCTATTTAAGTGTTCTGGGAAAAACTCATGCCCGGTCAAAATTTAAGTAACATCCGGGTCGCAGATTAATCTGTTAACTTTAACTCGTTTGAAGTAGTGTTTGGTGGTTGATCTGTTTGTAGTTGTGTTCCAAATATCTTGCCAGAGTTTTATGGCTGTATCTTTAATTTGTTTTTTTAATTAAGGATGGTGGATAAGGTACATTTACCCTGTTCCCATTGCCTGTTGTTGCTAGAGCACTGGGCCCATGTCCAAGGAATCGTGGGTTCGATCCCTGCCTGCCGAAGACTCCCCGTGTAGTAAATGGTGATTGATGCACGTTAAATCTGTCGAGTTACAAAGTACTCCATGTTTCCATTACAAATCATACCTCTGGGGATACTAATCCAGAAGTTTCCTTGTCTTCTGGATTGGTTCGAAATAACAAGCTACGGAGTTGCACATTCATAGCCGTAAACCCAGCATTGGGCCGGCTGTTCAACGACTGTTATAAAATATGAAAAATAAAATATGAAAAATACATCAATGTTTCTTAAGGTCAAGTGCCCAGTAAGGCCCAGTATGCATTTAACCGGTACTCCGAAAGCTGAGCACCTGATTTATCTGACCCTCACCATTTTTGTGAGCATATTATTGTATTTTAAAAGAGCAATCTGTTTTCTCCCCCAGGCCAAGCGACAAAGAAGTGTTTCTCAATCATTTTCCAAATGCTGTCTACGAAGCAGTGGAGGATGCAGAGCACAGAGTTCATATTGGATATCCAGAAACTTTTACAAGATTAGTGTGCGAATTTATATTGAAACATCGACATTTAAAATGCAACATTTAATGTTTCCCTTAAAATTTCACCGAAAACTGAATAATTGTATTTCAAGTTGTAAAGAAATTACAATAAATATAATGTTCTCTTGCGTCTTTTTTCTTTTCAATGAAAAAATTATTATGAGTCTGTCTATGATTCCACACAATTCTTATAAAATTAGAGTGCATTTCATTTGCTCCATTTCTATAAATTTTTCCAGCAACATTTTTTTTTCTTCATAAAAATATATATATATTGGTCAATTTTACTTCCTCTAGAATTTTATGTACAGTCCGCAAAAAAAAAAGATATCACCCTGAAAAACTTTCGTTCTAANACGTAATTCTCCCTTGACCGATTACAGTATCATACAGGACTCCAGCGGACGTGATCTTCATTTGGATGATATTGGGTGATTGAAGTCTGTTTCGAATAATGTATCACAGGCCTTTAATACGCGGTTCCATTTTTATTTTATTTAAACGTGTAAACAACCGATTTATTGCAGTCAGGATTTTTGTTTAGATTTTGACGGAAGGGAAAAAAGAATGGAATGCTTATTGGTTTATGTGGCTGTAAGTTTGTCGTTTTCTGGATAGTATTTTGCATGCATTTTTCTGTCACTTTTGAAATTGTTTTATGAAATATCGTGAACATTTTATTACAGTGTATTCAGGTACTATCAATGATAACAAATTGTACATTTCAGTTAATTTTAAAATTATCTTTTGTATTTCTTCTGTATTTTTGTCTGTTCTTGTTGCTGAATGCTATTTTGAAAATATCTCGTAATTCCAAAGTCATTGGGTTGGGAAATTTAGACAGAGCACCCATTTTAGCCCCTGAAAAATAGTTTAAAGGTTTCAAATAATCCCTTCGGTAGAAATGGAGAAGTTAACTTTTTTCGTTTATGTGTAATATTAACCATAGTTATTAATAAAATTATTCACCATTCTGTTTAAAATTTTATCGAAGAATTTTTAAAATTTGCTCCTTAATGTTTCATTTTTGTTCCTTCCAAATTTAGTCATCTACGTGAATGACATGTTTCTTGGCTCTACGCCACCAAATTCGCAATTCTAAAGTTATCTGTAACCACATCTTTTGTTCATATTTGTGCTTTTAAAACGTGTTTTTCTTTGGGGAGGGGGGGAATGAGGTGCAATTTGTTTTCAAATACTTACGGAATCCTAAGATGAAAAAAATAAGAAATGAAATAATTTAAATCAAAATTTCTTCTTATGGGTTGGCATGAAAAAGTAATAAATGAAATATGACATGTCACTTACAAGAATATAGTTGATATAATCTATTCTAATTTTCCAGGAATGCTTGTTTTATATCCTAAAATGTGTTGCAAGAATTTCTTATCAAATTCATTATTACTTTCCTTAAGAAAAAATAAGTCAATAAAAAAAATAAAAAATAAAAGAAATTCTCCCAACACATTTTAAGAAAAACTTTACATAAAATGAACGTTCCTGGAAGATTAGCGCGAACTATATTAACTTGATTCTTATAAATTGCATGTCATGCGTTATTTCTTTTTTTTTTGTGCAAACTCATAACCGTCGTTGAACAGCAGAACCAATTTATTGGGTTTACGACTATTAACTCCGTAGCTTTGTAATTTTGAACCGAATCTAGAAGACAAGGGAACTCCTGGATCAAGTATTGGGAGAAATGTGCCTTCGTGGAGGACTTTCTGATAAAACTAGCAAGCATTGACATTACATGGTGAGGAAAACCAGGAAAACCTCCCACGTTAGCCCGATGGCTAGGGAATTCTAACCCATACCACCGAGAATATTTTTACGTCAGCACTGTAGTCTATGCAAGCTGGATGCAGAATTTGTATCGACCAGCCATGACTGGGATTCGAACTCGATTCACTTCATTGGAAAGTAAACGTTCTTATCTCTGTTTTTTAAAATTTTTGTTTTTTTAAAAAGAAAATTTTTAATTATTTTTTATATTACTTTTTAAATGAGATTAGGTTTAATGGGGAGGATCACCCAGTCCCGTGTCCGCACACTCCTTTCGCCGATCTTGAACATGTTCAAATATTACTTGCAGTTTCATTTATTATTTTCTTTCTGTAAACTTTATTCCCTTGTAAACTCTTTTTTATAATCTAATCAGATTGCTTAATCTATTTACCAGAAGGTAACGTTTTTCTTTCTTATTCTACTGTAAACAAGTCGTAAATTGTAAAAAAAAAGAAGAAAACTACCGATTTTACTTAATTAGTTTTTTAACGTTTGTAGGAAACTTATACTTATTGTGTTTTGGAGGATTCAATCTTGTCAATAGTGATGAACTTGGTGTGCTATACCGCTGATACTAAAATTCGTTTATAAATTTTAATTATTCCGTTAGGCAGAAATGTTCGGAAAATGATTTTCTCGCATGACTTTAGCATTAGCCTTTGTTACAAATAAAACTGTAGACTGTTCTGTTTCAACTTATACTGCACATTCAATTATTTTTTACTAGCTCAAAGATCACAAAGCTATCTGAAACCCCGTGTTTGCTTTGTTTATGTTTGTGTTTTTAAAACGCGTTTCTAAAGAGTAAAACAATTTTAAATCAATGGTAATTTAAATAAATAAAAATAATAAACTAAAAATTAAAATCAATAGATAAAATTTCTTTTTCGTGCAAATCCATAAAAAGTTTGATATTAAAATTATATTTGATTTTAAAATTATATTATACGATTATATTATAAAATTATATTATAATATTCTTCCGAATTTAAAAATAAATTAATATCCATAACTTTCAAAATTAAAAATAATTAAATAAATAACAACAATTTTGCAAAAACATTAAAGAACATAAGAATATTATTCAATAAAATTTTAGGTTACTTTGAATTTTCGATTTCCTAGAAATGTACTTTTAAATCGTTACTTTTTTTGTTTAGTACTTGTACTTTTACTTGTACTTTTTACTCGTTACTTTTTAAAATAAGAACTTTTTACTTTTTACTCGTTACTTTTTTTAAAAATACTTGTACTTTTACTCGTTACTTTTTAAAAGTAACGTTGCCATATATGATTTCCACTGACTGCAAATTTTTTGAAAGTGATTGCAAAAGTGAGATAAATCTAGATGTTTCAAGCTACGAAAAAATTTTTAGTTTAAAGAAAATATGTATGGTTGCAAAAAAATACCTTTAGAATAATTTCGTAATTCTCAAATGAAAACTAAATTGATGTATTTTGTAGTAGTTTTGAAAAATCTAAGCAACTACTCGTTTATTTTTCCTAGGTTGTGGGAACCCTATCTTACCTAGTTAGTTAGAACTCTATCTTACCTAAACATCTTAAAATTATCGTTATTAACCCACTGACGGTTCTGCACGTAAAAAGTCGCATTTTAAGATGCAGTCTTCTCTGCATAGCAAAACCGGTTTTCCCATGTTAATAGATAGGGGAACTGTGTGTAGGGGAGAAACATTCTCCCAATTTTGCCCATTTCCTTAACCGCCAGTGGGTTAAAACAGTATCTCGTGAATTAAGCTTTTACCAGTTTCTAAAACACACGTATCTCCATAACTTTTGATCACTTCCATGAAGCTTGTTTTTTTATTCTAATTCTGTGTAAAAAAATTTTAAAAATTATTTAATATTTTTTTAATGATTAATATAAATTAACTTTAAAGGCGTAAAAATTTTCACACTATTTTATTCTACCTACTTTTAAATGACAAAAATCTAAAATTGAAGGCAATCCTTGACAATGCTCTAAAAAAATCAAAATTTAGAAAAAAAAAAATATTTCGTTGATGATGGCAAAATACGCAAAAATTGAAGTTAACAGTAAATGGTTCAATTTTCCAAAGCTCTGCATCCTATTTTCTAGATGACAGTCCTTATTTTGGGAATGATTCAGTTCGTTAGAAAAAAAAATGTTCATTCAGCGAAAATGTGTTTTTGTGTCATAACTTCAAATATCGCCAGCTCTAAAAAATTTGTACATTTAATGCCCTAGAATTGAGAAGTTTGCACGTTAAAATTTTACCATCCATTAAAAAGTTATTAAGGTTTTTCTTTTATTTTGTGGGTTGTACAAGATTCGACAAAAGTTAAACGTCTTTCAGCACTTGGGCAATTTTGATGCAAAAACCACCTATTCTGGAATAAATGAAAAATTAATTACATGTTGCAAATATTGGGTGGCAATATGTGTAACCCTCTGCCTCTCGATCAATATATTGAAATACATCTGGCACAATTTTATCACTTCTAAATGTTTCTCGAGTAAGAATCGTAAAAATTTATAATTTTTTATGTCATAATTAAAATGAACTAAAAACAGTTCATTAAATTTAATTCATAACTTTTTTTTAACAATATTTCATTTTATTTTTAAATTTACTTTCTTCTTAGTTACCAAATAGTAAAAATCTAAATTTTGATAAATTTTAATAAAATAGTAGTAATAAAATAGTAGTAATAAAAATAAATTTTGTTATTCTCGGGGACTCAGGAAGATAATCAAACAAAGTGAGAAGTAATAGGGTCATAACCATTCGATGATGGAAATAGTTTAAGAAGCAGGTGAAACACAATCAGTTTCAAATTAGTTTCAGCTATGGAAGGGTAAGAATCATTGTATTTTTAGTTCATTCCTTAGCTTAAATAAATTTGTACTGTCATTATCATTCATATTTTTATGAACAAAAGTTTTACAACACAATTTATTAATGGAGATTACATCTAATTGATGATTTGATTATTTTACATTGCATTGATTTTGATTTAATTAAAGATATTTATCCGAAAGAAATTAATTCATTCTATAATGACTCATTCAGATGTTAAAACGATCCATTTCTTGAATTTTGAAATTAATCTTCATTATGAAAAAATTTTAATAGGATTATATGATAAAAGAAGAGATTTTAAGTTTAATGTTATTAGTCTAACACATTTTAATTCCAATGTATACTTAAAATTTAAAAAAAAATATTTTGATTAGTCAAATTCTTAGGTTTACATTTATTTGTATTGATAACACGGATTTTCTTGCAGCTATTAAGAATTTTATAATTGGGTACATGCACTTCAAAAAGAATATCATGGATACCCACACATGTGACCTATGACGCCAGCACCAACAGATCGCTTATAAGCAAAATGGAGTGTGCAAGTTGATCTAAGTTTATCTACATAAGTTAGAATGTTAAGTAACGTGAAATTAATTAAATACAAAAGCGTATCGCACATCGAATTTGTTGAAATATGATTCTTTCTCGTATTTTACTTAACTTAGATTAATTATTTTTTTTATGTATTTTATTGCAACGGTTATATTTTTTTTGTTTTGTGTACCTGGTAATTTCGATGCGTAATTAGTTTGTTTACGTTCTACCAGGCTTCGTGCCTGGCTATGTGTAAAATAAGAACTGCTTGTGGAAAAATCTTCTGTAACTTAAGAGAATTAATACTTAACGGGCTTGGCTTACTCAAAAAAGAATGGAAAGAACAGATGCTATCATAAGCAAATGCCACGTTTCAACAGCCCATCAGGATAGGGATACCTAAACTACGTCACACGCAGGTATCCCATTACTTTGGACAATAATAATTTTCCTTTTAATTATTGTAACTATTCGCGATCGCTACGCTAGAGTACGCCCTCTAGAGGGAGCCTGAAAATATCGGGCATTAGTTCCAGCATAACCATTGGCAATAACGGACGCCATTTTCTTAGCAGCAAACAAGAAGCAAAATTTCCTTTAGGAAAAGGTAGAAGAACTTGAAAAAACTAACCAGAGCATGCAAAACATTGAAGCAGAACACGCCAAGCATTTGAAGAACAATTTCTCAATAATTTTTACCTTTCTATTACCAACAACATAACTTCTGATTTCATGATCGCTTGCTGTTACAGATGTGTGTATTACGGTAAAATAATTTTTTCTGTCTTCAATTCATAACAAATTTAAGTGAAGTCAACATTGCTTTCGTCATTCCAATGAATAAATGTGAATTCAGAACGTACAGAACTGTAATAGTTATAGAATATATTCTTCCTCTTTATAGAATAGTATATATTTCTGTATCTATATAATTCCGAAAACAACAATAAAGAATCATCAAATTACTTGAAATAGTATCATTTGTGCTGATTATTAATACATTTTTATCGTTTTCTTGGTAAGTATTTTTTAGTTTTGAAAGAATAATTTCAACTAGAATTCAGCTATTCTGTTTTTAAGCTACATATTAATATTCATATCGAGATTTTACAATTATAAAATTTTGATGTGTGGTATGTTATCTAAAAGTAATGAAGGGATAATCTGCGCATATATTATTTGAAAAAAAAAATTCAAACGAGGAACATTTAATTTGGAATTTTGCGGATTTATAAAATAAGTGAGTGTTATGATTTTTATAATAAAAAATTTGCTTGTAAATAATTCTTTATATTATTTAATGATCGTTCTCTACAGAATGGTTTTTTACGTCTGATTAAGAACTATAAGAATAAAAAAAAAGAAACAATATGAAAGTTTTTATTTTAATATGAAGAATTTTTGAAATCTTTTTTTATAATAGGAATTCTTTGTATTACGTTTCTTAGTTCATAGTTTTTTGATAAAAATTGTGGTCAAAATACTTTTTTTGAAAAATTAAATGGTATAACATTATGTGTTTATGTATACTTCTTGTTGAATAATACTCCATACTTATGTATACTTCTTGTTCAAATGTTTGAAGTAATAAGATTCAGAAAAGTATGGAATAAAAATTCGGTACTTACGTATTAACGCCACCGCAGCTACAGATTTGGCGGTTTTTAAGTGCCGCCAATCTACACTTAAAATATTTGCGACATATCATCAAATAAAACATTTTATTTAAAATCAAAGTAGTCAACCCGATTTCGGTGGAAAATGGGCAGATATAGAGTTTAGTAAAGATTCAGAACAATCATATCGCCATATGAACTCAGATGAATAAGATTCCAAATAAAATAACATTTCCAAAACGTACGTCTACCAAGATAAAGTTTCATGTCGTGGGAATTGGTACATTTTCGTTTTTTCGGTAAAATATTTCCCTCCTAAAAAAATACAATTGCATCTTGTTTTGTTTTTGGCAAATCCCAAAGACGAATTTTTGTGGCACTAAAAACGGCGACAAAAAAGAATTGTTTTTTTTTTTGTTTTTGTTTCGTCAGCATTCTTTATTTTACGTTTCTTAGTTNAATTATTGTTTTTTTGCTTTTGTTTCGTCAGCATTCTTTCAACGCCCTCTATAGTTCGTTGCGATCGCGAATTTCAAGTAATTTGAAGAATTCTTTAGTGTTGTTTTCGGAATTATATAGATACAGAAATATTTACTATTCTATAAAGAAGAAGAATATTCTATAACTACTACTGTTCTGTACGTTCTGAATTCACATTTATTCATTGAAATGAAGAAAGCAATGTTGATTTCACTTAAATTTGTAATGAATTGAAGACAGAAAAAATTATTTTACCGTAATACACACATCTGTAACAGAGGGTGATCATGAAATCCGAAATTATGCTGTTGGTAAAAATTATTGAGAAATTGTTCTTCAAATGCTTGGCGTGTTCTAATTCAATGTTTGGCATGTTCTGGTTAGTTTTTTCAAGTTCTTCTACCCTTTCCTTAGGGAAATTTTGCTTCGCTAGAGGGCGTACTCAAGCGTTGCGATCACGAATTATAAAATATTGATAAGCAATTACCTGATCGTTGAGATGCAGCTTCCTCTACAAATCCTCAACAACCTCTACAAATACTGTTCCATAACGTGGAGAACATGAAACACGGTTAGGAATAGGGTGAATAGGTAAATATCTTTAAATTAGGGATGAAAAAATATACATAAAGCAATATCTTTATGACTCATATCAATTTTATGCTGATGNGATTATTAATACATTTTTATCGTTTTCTTGGTAAGTATTTTTTAATTTTGAAAGAATAATTTCAACTAGAGTTCAGCTATTCTGTTTTTAAGCTACATATTAAAATTCATATCGAGGTCTTACAATTATAAAATTTTGATGTGTGGTATCTAAAAGTAATGAAGGGATAATCTGTGCATATATTATTTGAAAAAAAAATTTCAAGCGAGAAACATTTAATTTGGAATTCTGCGGATTTATAAAATAGGTGAATGTTATGATTTTTATAATAAAAAATTTGCTTGTAAATAATTCTTTATATTATTTAATGATAGTTCTCAACAGAATGGTTTTTTACGTCTGATTAAGAACTATAAGAATAAAAAAAAGAAACAATATGAAAGTTTTTATTTTAATATGAAGAATTTTTAAAATCTTTTTTTATTTAATAAGAATTCTTTATATTACGTTTCTAAGTTCATAGTTTTTTGATAAAAATTGTGGTCAAAATACTTTTTTTGAAAAATTAAATGGTATAACATTATGTGTTTATGTCTACTTCTTGTTGAAGAATACTTCATACTTATGTATACTTCTTGTTCTAATGTTTGAAGTAATAAGACTCAGAAAAGTATGGAATAAAAATTCGGTACTTACGTATTAACGCCACCGCAGCTACAGATTTGGCGGTTTTTAAGTGCCGCCAATTTGCGACAAATCATCAAATAAAACACTTCGTTTAAAATCAAAGTAGTCAATCGGATTTCGGTGGAAAATGGGCAGATATAGAGTTTAGTAAAGATTCAAAACAATCATATCGCCATATGAAGTCTGATGAATAAGATTCCAAATGAAATAACATTTCCAAAACGTACGTCTACCAAGATAAAGTTTCATGTCGTGGGAATTGGTACATTTTCGTTTTCTCGGTAAAATATTTCACTCCTGAAAAATTGAAATTGCATCTTGTTTTGTTTTTGGCAAATCCCAAAGACAAATTTTCGTAGCACTAAAAAACGGCGACAAAAAAGAATTGGTTTTTTTTTTTTTTTGCTTCTGTTTCGTCAGCATTCTTTATTTTACGTTTTTGAGTTTCTAAATAATGATTTTTATTAAAACTTGAAATTTTTTGATAAAAATTGTCGTCAAAAAATTTCTTTTACAAAATTAAATTTTATAAAATTATGAGGCTTATGTATACTTTTTGTTCATTTTAATTTTTGAAGTAATATGATTCTTAAAACTATGGAATGTAAAGTTTAAATAGGCCTTTCATGTTATATCATTAAATTTAGTAAAACTATTTCTCGGGCATTAGGTTTTAACTCTTATAAGAATATACATATTTTTTTCTGTTTATGTACAAATATTTATCCGATGTGTTTTGGATGTTCCTTCTCTAAAAAAAAGAGACACCATTTTGTTTTCGTTTGCATAAGAAAGAATATCAAACATTTTTCTTTTTTGAATTTAATTAGCCACAATAAAAAAGGAACGTTGCAATGCTACACGCTACATTAAAGACGTTTCTAGAGTAACTGAACAGTACTGTTCATATAGAAATCGCAGGTATTCGTCTCATACAACAACGCCCTCTATAGTTCGTTGCGATAGCGATTTTCAAGTAATTCGGAGAATTCTTTAGTGTTGTTTTCCGAATTATATAGATACAGAAATATTTACTATTCTATAAGGAAGAAGAATATTCTATAATTATTACTGTTCTGTACGTTCTAAATTCACATTTATTCATTGAAACGAAGAAAGCAATGTTGATTTCACTTAAATTTGTAATGAATTGAAGACAGAAAAAATTATTTTACCGTAATGCACACATCTGTAACAGAGGGTGATCATAAAATCCGAAATTATGCTGTTGGTAAAAATTATAGAGAAATTGTTCTTCAAATGCTTGGCGTGTTCTAATTCAATGTTTGGCATGTTCTGTTAGGGAAATTTTGCTTCTTATTTGCTGCTAAGAAAATGTCGTCCGTCATTGCCAATGGTTATGACGGAATTAATGTCCGATATTTTCAGGCTCCCGCTAGAGGGCGTACTCAAGCGTTGCGATCACGAATTATAAAATATTGATAAGCAATTACCTGATCGTTGAGATGCAGCTTCCTCTACAAATCCTCAACAACCTCTACAAATACTGTTCCATAACGTGGAGAACATGAAACACGGTTAGGAATAGGGTGAATAGGTAAATATCTTTAAATTAGGGATGAAAAAATATACATAAAGCAATATCTTTATGACTCATATCAATTTTATGCTGATGACAACCAAACCAACCAATATGAAAGTTAATGTTCGACAATGTAATTATGCTGCCAATAAAATTCAATAAAAACAATAATGGAAAACTGTGATACTATCATTAAATTTATATACCAATCGTGTTTTTCGTGCGTATAGTGTCTGTTGCGTATGTTTTGGCCTGTTTGCTTACAACGTCAACTGTAAGGTAATAATGGTAGACATCTTAAGACTTGTTACATAATAAGTGTTACGATTTATGAAGAAAATTTTGTAATTAGTTACAAAGGAAAAAAAAGAAGTTATATTTGTCAACCAGCGATATGGGTGCATTAAATAAACTTTATTTTATGTTTGTACCTATTAAAACAATTTAAAAATCTTTGGTTTTAGACCTCAACTCGCAACAGTTAAATTAGAAAACAAGCAATAAATGTTCTTCGATACATTCAAATCATTCCTAAAAAATTTTAAAAAATAAAGTAATTACAGCCCTGAAGTTGCTTCCTGATCAGTGCGTAGTATCTTTGTCCGAAAATCGCAAAACAAGAAGGCTGCAGTACCTTCAATTCCAAACTGCATCTCAATGGAGTGGACTTCTGCAGGTGGAAAGAGGATGCATACTGAATATTATTCCTGAAACAGATGCATGAGACAGAATTTATTTTCGATTTCAGAATTCGGGAAATCGAAAATAAAAAATTATCTTCCTGAAACCTATATGCCTTTTAAAACATTTAGGCGATTCGAATTTACCACATTTTGCATTTATTTTAATTTGATATCATTATATTCATTAATTTTTTTCCAGTAGTTGGAATAATTTCTATTTGTTCAATTGAGCCGTGATTGCTCAGGGGAATAGAGCTGTCGCCTTCTAATGATTTTAATCGAGTTCAAATCCTAGCGATGGCTGGTCGATACGGCTTGTATCTACCACAGTGCTGACGTAAAATATCCTCAGTTTTAAACTAATCATGAGTTAGAGTCCCCTTACCGTTACGCTAACCGTGGGAGGGTTTCGTCGTTTTCCTCTCTCTGTAACGCAAATGAGGGTTAGTTCCCTCAAAAATTCTGCCATGGTAGCAAATTTCTCCCAATACTTGATCCAGGAGTTCCCTTTTCTTCCGGACTGGGTTAAAAATTACAAGGCCGCGTATTAGTAGTCGCAAACCCAAGGAATTGGGTCGGCTGTTCAACGACAGTTATAATTATTTATTGAACTATGCGAGTTTCACAAAGTCCAGTTCAGAAAATCTGTCAGTTTATAGGCCTCTGCACTTAAGAAAAAATTATTAGGATCACTTAGGCAAGCATTTACAGTTTAATGCCATTTTTCCATCAAGAAATATCAGTGATGAGAATACAAAGCATTTTTTACCTTTCTGAGCTTGCAAAAAAAAAAAAAAAAAAAAAAAAAAAAAAAAAAAAAAAAACGCTTACAATCTACTGCCTATTGGGAGTCAGCTTGGAATTGAAGCGCTAAAAGGTTCTTATCTTGCGACATGGATTCTGTGTTTATTTTTACCATAAAGGCAACTTTATAACTCGCATTAAACTGATATGGACCTTTTAATATAATAAAAAGATCACCTTTTTCCGTTCATCTATAGATTGCCGTTCACCTATAGAATTTTTGAATTTACAAGTATTTTTTTAAAAGCAAATGACTGATAAATGTTTTATTTTACTGTCTTCAAAAGGATTGGTGTTCGCCTTGCTTACAAGATATTCTTACCTGACTCCTTAACTGAGGTTCATAAGTTCGATCATGACGAATACACAAATAAAGCCTTATCAGAAGTGAGTTTTGATTTCTCTTGTTACTGAACTGATGAGTTTAACAATTTACTGTGCAAGATTCATCACAGGATATTGTTGCCAGAACTCTTCCAGGCACCAAACTCTGGTGATGGCGATGATAACGAAGTTATGCCACTTAGAATAAGAGTATTAAAACAGTTTTTTTCGCTTTGGTGATAGTTGAGAGAGTCATGTCATATCTTCATTTGTGCCACTAAAACTGGTTAACAGTTTTTTTCGAAGCTGTTTCATCAAGGGAAGTGAAAAAGCCACAGTTTAAGTGCTTAACACTTAAGGCAAAGCAATAATTTGTAACTATATACACCATCCTGCCCTAAAGAATTAACCGGTCTTTTAAAAATGTTTTTATTAAGTGCCTTAAAATTGTAAAACTTATTATTTTTTGTGTGAAAAAATGACCAATTTGGAGAGATTTTTCCATCTAGATGAAACTTATCAAAATCGATGAATAATTGCTAAATATTGCAAATTTTTATGAGCCTTGTTAAAGCAACAATGAAGCAACTTCTAAAATATTAAAAATTAGATAAAAAAAACACTTTTCATTTTGACTGAACTTCGTAACATTTCTTCGTATTGACGTTTAGCGCCATCTTTAGAATTTGAGAGAGGACGCTGGGGTTAAAGATAGAATAGACTTCTAATCATGAATAATTCTTGCAAACTCACAGCAGTTAGGTAAATAGCATATTCTTTGCAAAATGCTATTTCATATGAGAACAGAGTCTTTCAAAAAACAGCCTTAACTCTTGTTTTCTTAGTACACAATTTCATTCTTCCTACTGAAAGGATTTCTGGTAAAAGCTGGACATTAAATTTTTCTCGTCTTGTCTCACCGGTTCAGCGTTTTACCATGCTATTTATAATTTGAATCATAATACCGATAAAATAGGCTACTATCTCAATAATGTGAAATGTGTAATTAAATATTAATTTTTTGAATAGGAATTTTTAGGAAAGAAGCTCTCTTCTTCATCGTAGTTTTTTCTCTAATTCAAAGTAATTTAATTTTAGAATAGTTATTGACACAAAATTAGCCATATTCACATGTGTTCTTTTCTGATAGCATCCTCCTGTTATATTCCTACACGGCATTACAAATACCAAGGAAACATGGGATGATTGCGGTCAGACAGTTGCCAACAAGACAACCACTAAAGTAAAAGACTCAGTAGTTTTATTTATTTCTAATGTTACTTTATGACACTGAACTGAATTCAGTTTGTATCTAATTTGATCTAAATTCACGTAATAAAGAACAATAAACATCTTAATTGATTATCGCAATTTTATATTCCGATTATATTTTTCATATTGAGAGTTCAATTTACACATATAATAAAATATTTTCATGTGCCAAAGTTGTGCAAAATTGTAATCGATTATATTTGTCGATTACAACATTGATAACAGCAACATGTTTGAACATGCATACATTATAAGTACATATATTTTATAAATGTATGTATAGTGCTCCAAAAACCAAACTTCACTGAGTAACTTTTGATTTAATGATTGGACCCTCACGGTCTACGACTCAATATTAATGGTTTGAGGGAGTGACGTAATTAATTACTGCAGACGATATTTTAAGTTACGAAATCAGACACAAAATCGTACTTTCTCTGAACATACATGCCCTTTTTTCGACGGATTTTTACCCCAAAATATAGGGGTTGGGCGTAGTCTGGGAAATATGATTGCAATATTTTGATCAGGAAAGTGGTTCAAAGTTTGGACAGCTTAATGTTGATTTTACTCCTTGCGTATTTCACCATTTCTCAAGAACTTTTTAAGCGAATTGGGTATACTATAGCCTACGTCACAGGTTGTGTTATTCCTACTAAATTTAACCCATGAACGGCATTTTCTGCGAGCCTAACTTCAAGCCACAAATAAACAAACGAAGTGTTTGATCGTTTAAATAGCTGCTCGCCAGATTTTATTGCATTATAAAGAAAAGTAATTGATCTTCCATTTTTGATTAATAATTGATTTATGTCGATAGTGGCTTTTATGTGGATAGTGGCATAGAATTTAGCATTGCGTCATGGTAAATGTTATTCCTACTAAGTGGAAGTAGTGTTTTTTTAATATTATACCCAATTGAAGAAATTTTGCACACAATAATAAAATTTATTTTTGCAGAAATAATTTTAGTAAATATTATATTATTTAATATCAGTAGAAAAGTTTTGAATTGTAAGGTGCACAATTTTTTGCATCATTCTATGGAATTTATATGGCAAAATACAAAATTATATATATCTTTATATATAATATAAGAAGAGAGTGGAATGATAACACATAGCCAATCACAGAAAACTCCTGGTTACTAACGCACAAAACAGTCAATCAAAATTGAGAACGCATGTATGTTTAAAGGAAATAATTTTTAATAATGCTGTTTCATGTCTCATCCCATCTCATGTCGATGTTGAAGGTAATGAGATTGCAGACTCCTTGGCTAAGAGCGGAACTGATCTGCCCCTACATTCTTCGGCATCTCTGACTTTCTCGGAGCTCCACTCCCGTTTTAACAGGCTTCGTGATCCTGTGGCCCCTCCAGTTCATCATTGGTATCAGTGCAACCGCCCAGGTGGCAGCCTGACCCTTCAGTGCAGCAGGCGGGATCAGACGGTTATATCAAGATTTCGAAGCGGTCACCTAAGAACTATGTTGTTCAATAATGGTTCAAGAGTTTTCCCTGTTTGCACTAAGTGTAACGACCAACAAGTTACTCCTGAACATATACTTCAATGCCTAAATATCTCTAAAGTGAACCTCTTTTCAGATCCACTTTTTGTTACAGACTTGCTCAGAGTCTCTGGAGTCATGGACTTGGTTTAGCTCCGCTAACCGTGTGGCCCAGCAACAACAACAACAATAATGCTGTTTGCAGAAATGTTACAACTAAACTTACCAGCTAAATCTTGTTGCAATTTTTATTTTGTATTAAATGTGTGAAATATATTGAACAGAGTTTACTTTAAAATACTTATATCTTTTATAAAAGATGGATCACCGTGAATATCTTTGGCGATATCAACAGCGACATGGGGCTGAACATAATTTAGCAGCACAAAATTACTGGGAAAATAATCGTAGTGCTATCAATTCGCGACAGCAGAATGTGCGGCGAAGAAACGTTGAAGAGTCAAGACGTTTATATGAAAACGAATAATATAGAAAAGAAATTGATAAAAAATTTTGTATATAAGGAGGTTTCGTAAATAATTTTTAACTTTATCATTGTTTTTCCTTACGTTTAATTGCTTTTTACTTACTTTCAAAAAACCGTTCAGCCAGAAATATAAATTAACAGTTCATACTTGTTTGAGATATTTCTTAAATAATGCATAAAAGTGCAAATCATTAGTACACAAAATGATGTGAAAAGAAAAATCGTTAAAAATATACTATGCGAAACTGGCGACTTATGTTTGGCGCCATTCCTGCTTGCATGGAACAGCGTGGTAACAGGAATAGCGGCCAAAACATAATGATATTTCAATAAAACATTGGAAAATTTCAACGAAACATCGGCCAAAATTTTATGAAATTGCAGTGAATCCAATATAAGAAAAGTTAATAAACCCAATAAAATGTATTTTGAATCGAAACAAAAATTAATGGAGCAAGCAAAGAAAGAAAAGGAAAAAAACAACTCACTTCTTCGTTAAGATTGGAAAGCCTCAGATTTAGGTGCACCAAATTCTCTAATAGCAGTTAGATACTGTCTAAATTTTTCATGAATAGAATCTGTGTACCTCCATCGCCACATAAATTCGGCGAAATACGAATCGAAAATGGCGTCTGTGGTACCAGACTGGCGATGATATTTTTTTCTAAAGTCCCTTTTTATGACTGCCCACATACCTTCGATCTTATTGACCAGAAGTAAAAGTAACCTTAAAAGCTGGTATCCAACGTAGAATTGACGGACCTCTAAAATTACATATACCATTGAACATTTAAAAATAACGCTAAAATCTAAACCAATCACGATTAAGTTAAGTTTCAACATCGCCCAGCTTGGCGATCAGCCGCGATCATAACTTGGCGAGAATCAAGGGGCACCCTCAAATATAGTCTACCCGAGTTAGGCTGAAGCCAAGCGTGTTTCGGATACAGAGATTAATCTCCGACTAATGCCCTATAGTTAAATGTCCTATGTGTTAAATAATATTGCTTCCTCGCCTTATATAAGTTTATAATATTGTTTCTATTAATATTGCTTTATCTAAGTTTGTAATGCTGATATAAGGACCTCTGAAATTTTACAATCCTATAATATTCTCTCTATGTGATGTTGGTGCAGAAAAATTGCCAGCTAATCTTAAGAAAAACAATAAGTTTCATTTATTGCGCATAAACTGCAAGTAAACAGAACCCATTAGATAAATTCAAAATGAAGATAAAACAAAGGAAAATTTCAGACTATTGCGACTTTCGATTTCCTGGATCCTTTCAATAGCATTCCCCTTTCTAAACTAAAAGATGTCCTTTTGAATTATTACTATGATTTTAAAAATATCCTTTGTTGCGACTTTGATTATTGGGAAATTCTGATTAATTTTTGTCTTTTTAATAATTATCTTTACAATGGAAAGGATATTTTTCTTCAAATTGATGGAATACCACAAGGATCTAATTATTCATCTCTCTTATCTAACTTATTTTTGCATTATTATGAAAAAAATTATACTCTTAGTATTAAATTTGCTTTTAGATATATTCATGAATTAATTATGTTTAATTTTCAAGATTATACTATATAATTAAATGATATTTACCCCGAGGAATTAATCTGGCTTCGTAATCATGATGATAATATTAATTTCAACTTTTTGGATTTGGTTATTATAAAAGATGAAAATATCTTCTTTATTTATTTATACGATAAAAGAAATGATTTTAATGTAAATAAACTAATTACTTGGAATTCTAAAGTTTCTAGGAGCATCTATTTAAATACCACTTTTAATGAAATGAATAGAATTAAAAGAATATGTAGTACTATTTATTTATCTAAAAACAAATCGATAAACTCTTTCAAAATTTGTTAAAAAACAGTGGATGCCCAACTAAAGTAATAAAATTCTATATAAAATCATTGAGTTAATCGTATATTTTTGAGGATATGTTTACTAAAAATTTTCTTTGTTAATTTATATAATTTTCCCATGTGCAAATACATTTCGGGCAAATCCGTGCGGTCAAAATTATTTACTAAAAAATTTCTTCACTAAAAAAAAAAAACTTTCCTTTGTTAAGGCGGTCCTAAAGTGGATTCTAGCCTCAAACTAGAAAACTAGATGGCGCTGAAAATCACACCCCGCCTTAGGCTAAGATCTAGTTTAGCCTTTCCCAAAAAGATTCTAACTCATAGTTGATTGGCTACCTCAAAAAGAGCTATTCTACCTTTTAACGTTTCTAGATGTAAATAAATCAATGTATCGCAATGATGTATATTGATGTAAATATGTAAAGAACGACTTCTAGTATCGTAAAACAAATAATCTTAGATTAATAAATGAAATGAATTTAACTGGAGAATTTAATTTACACTTCAGCTTAAAATGATTTTTAATAAAATATGAGCTGAAACACCATAAATTATTAGTAATTATTTATTCATGTTTGCATGAACCAGTTTGTTATTCTAAAACATTATCCTAAAACAACAATTTTTTATGCTTTATTCGACAACAAATATTCAGTTTGAAAAATGCGAGGAAGTTATCTAATATTTGCAATTTTATGTGCTTAAGAAATTAAATACATCGGAAATATGTTTCTTTCCTTTGAAATAACTTCAATGTTTTTCATAAGTGAACATTCACACTTGAATATATGTTTAAATTGATTGCTGACATTGTCTGGGCATGAATATATGGTCAAATTGATATCTCTTATTCATAATGACTAGTATAAATACATAACTCTTGTTTATGCTCAGCTGCAGCCACAGGGATCTTTTAACTTTAGAACAAACGTTTCTATTCTATAAAGTAATTGTTAAAAATAATTGCGGAATTTCTACAAACTACTGTTT